GGACATGTACCTATGTACCCTATGGCGGTCTGGCATCCCTCCGGGACATGTACCTATGTACCCTATGGCGGTCTGGTGTCCGTCCAGGACATGTACCTATGTACCCTATGGTGGTCTGGCGTCCGTCCGGGACATGTACCTATGTACCCTATGGCGGTCTGGTGTCCGTCCAGGAGGTCCCCTCCAGGGTGTCCCGTACTTCCTGGGATGGGTTCCAGGCTCACAGGTCAATCTTGTGCTAGATGAATTTGCATCTCTATCCACAACTTAGATGAAGCTTAAAGGGAAGTAATGAGAATTAATATGTTTTCAGTGATGTTAGTATGCCCAGGGGGGTTGGGCGGCCAGTTGTCCTTGGACCCCAGAGGTTTTTTTTTTCTCCCTACTTGGGAGTTTTTGGTTCCTCTCCTCCGTTGTCTTCTGGCTTTCTTCTTTCTTTATTCAATTTCTTTCCTTCCTTCTTTCCCATTCTGTATCTCCCTCTACTTATGTTGTATGTGTCACAACACAACCCTGTAAAGTGCTTTGGGACAACTTTGTTGTGAAAGGCGCTATATAAAAATAAATTGAATTGAATTGAATAAACAGCCTGCACCTGAATCTGCAAGAAAGAAAGCAGCAGTATCAGATCAACCCAAACAGGTGGAACATGGAGGGTATTTATTTGATGTTTTGGTATGATTTTGACAGTCTGCTTTAAGCCTCTTGTTGCTATGTCTGTGTAATGGCAGTCCCCCCCCCCATCCTTGTTGACTGACTTCTCACCCCCCTGCCACCCCCGTTGCCCAGCCTGGCAGTGAGGACGTCCCTCTAAAGGAGTTCCGCATCCCCTCGAAAGAGAGCTGTGTCCAGTCTGAGACTGAGGCCCTCATCGAGCCGGACCGCAGTGGGGCCCCTATCGGCCGCCCGTCCCCGCGGAGCCTCCTGGACCCCAACGGATCCTTCCACGAAGCTGGCCTGCCCCGAAGCTGCTCCCGTGAGAGTGTGCGGAGCCTCCGTCGTGCCTCCTCGCTGGACGACATCGAGGGCATGAGGGCTGACTGGTCCTACCGGGGCAGCACCTCCCTGTCTGGCAGCAGTGAGTCTGATACCGCCTGTGTGTGTTTGTGTGTGTGTGTGTGTGTGTGTGTGGTCCAAGTTTACTTTCAAAATGGTAATAAGCATAGCACCAAGTGAGTTGAGTACAACCCTGGAAAAAGTGGAGTGATTGGAGATGCTATGGCTGGTCTTCTGCTCATGCCCCCCCCCCCACACACGCAGACCTGAGACCAAGCCTTCCGAACTCCACATCGGACTCGGACCTGATGAGGTACCGCGCCGTCAACAAGATCCCGCAGGTGACGCTCAGCTTTGCCCACGAGAGACTGCGGCCTCCTTCGCCTGCTGAGATCGAGATCTTGGCGCCCAGCAAGCTGAAGGACCGCACACAGAACGTGACAGAGAAGGTCACGCAGGTGGGGCCTCACTGACAGCGCCCCTCTGTGGTTGACAGATGGCCGTATTTTACTCGCAAAGCCTGAGCTTCGTCCTGACTGTGTGTGCAGATGGTGCAGGAGCTGATTCTTGAAGGTTTGCGGCAGAGCTCAGGCGTCACAAACGCCTTGTGTCAATCAGATACGCGCCAAGGCATTTACAGAAGAGCCCCGAAGCCCCTCCACGGCTGTCTAGTGCAGTGTTTCCCAATCTGGTCCTTGGGAAGCTACAGACAGTCCTCGTTTATGCTCCCCCCCAGCTCCCGGTAGGAGCAGAAATGTGGACTGTCTGGCAGGGAGCTGGGAGGAAGCAAAAATATGGACTGTCTTTGGCGTTCCCAACCCGGTCGGGAAACACTGATCTAGTGGTATGCACGCTCATCGAAGTGAGCTCAGCGTGTGCGTGTGCGTGTGCGTGTGCGTGCATCTGCATGGGGGAGGCTTCTGCAAGCATGCTGCACTCCGGGTGTGAGAAGAGCTGCTGCACCCAGCGGCTGATGTGTCCCTCGCTTCTGCCCGCCCTTCGGCTCTTGTGGTTTCGCGTCGCACACCACCCCCCCCTTGCATATATGACATGACATCCAGCTGACTCCTGACTGTTCTGACACGCTGTCACATTTCCTCACGGGCCATGGCCTCAGTGCACTCATGATGATTAGTATAGTAATACTATGATTCTGAATAGGCCTGAGAGGCACCTGCTGTCAGATGGGTGTGGTATCGCGTCTCTCTGGCTGGGCTAATGGCGGCGCTGAGGCGCACATGATTAGCAGTGTCAAACCCCCACCCCCTGCACTGTTCCCCTTGAAAATTAGCTACATCAAAAGCATTGGGGTAGTTTTCAAACCCTACAGACTATTTTCAGTGGGGGTGGGGAATCTTATGCACAAAGGGCCGGTGTGTATGCAGGTTTTTGGGATAACCTTTAGGTCAGCTGTTCAAACACAGGTGTGAGGACCCTTCAGCCTATTAGTCCTCTAATTAGTAATCTAATTAGTGAGTTGCAGCGAAAACCCGCATACACACCGGCCGTTTGCGGATAAGACTTCCCACCCCTGATATACAAGGTAATAAAACTGTGACATACATGTAAATAGACTAAATATGTGTGCATGTGTGTGCAGACTTGAAAATCTCACTCCAGCCAGCCGATCAAAGTTGGCAACCCTGATTCTGTAGCAGTCGGCCTTAAGATGTTTGTCATAATGTATAAATTCCCGCGCAGTGTGTCAGGTTATCTGAGTCCTGGATTCTCTTGCTTGTGCACTACCCAGAATCGACCCCTGCACAGTGACACTGCGGCTGGCTCAGTGTGGGCACATCTCAGGGACTTCTGTCACTCAGTGGTGTCTTTATCAGCTTTTAATCTTCCAGCTGTTGAAGTCACGCTCTGCCAGGCAGCAAACAGCTTGCTGCAGCTACTCATATACTTCTCCCCCTACCAGCCATGAAATTTGAGTGTAACCATTCTGTGTATCTTTAAAAAGATACATCAGCGTTAATGATGGAGTCTTTCCAGAATCCTTAAAGCATATTTGTGTTTGTGAGAGATACTTGTTTGCTAGTTATGAAGAATATTTATTTTATATTCTGTCTGTCATTTGCCCTGTCGAGGTGAGGGGGAACATGGGCATCCCTCCGGGACATGTACCTATGTACCCTATGGTGGTCTGGCATCCCTCTGGGACATGTACCTGAGTAATGTCCAGTGTGAAAGAGGCCATTTAGCCGTTTAGCATCAGGTGTGTGGAGTCAACGTATAACCAGAGGCCAGTAGTTAAAGCTCCTGTGGTCAGTTGGTTCGGAAGTGAGGCTTTGGATAGGTGGTGTAGATCAGACACGTGTCTGTGCAGTATGAAATACAATCAGATTGTTACGTCATCTCATGTGCAAATTTATTCTTCCACTATTTCACTTTTTTTGAAAGAATGATCTCTTTATAAGCCTAATTTCATTGACGGGGTTTCACTTGTAATTAGCGATGGAGGGGTGGTGGTGTTTTTGTAACTGTATCCTATATGCAGTTTAGCATGTTTGGATTTCCGTATGTTGCATTTCCTCCTGGTGTTTGAATTTGCTTTCCATTTAACTGGTGATGGTTTGGCTTAACATTGTTTTACCTTTATATAGATGAGACTGGGCCTGCCAGACTGATTTCTTTCCTTACTCATGTTGTTAACAATGGCATCTGTTTGTTCTGTATACATTGGTTTATTTATAATGTGTGGGGGTGCCTCAACCCTTCAATATTTTTTTTCTTATTCATTAAGTTTATTCCAGCAGTAAACACACTTGTACAATGGAATTACTGAATTCTTGAATCTGATTCATCTGGAGGGTGTTAATTAACTTTCCATAACAGTACATGTAGTACCAGCCAGGTGAAACAAAGTTGTAAATCAATGTGAAATGACTTAGGCAACAGTACTTTAGGGCCAGGACCGGTGGTCAGTGATTAAATACCAAAATGATTTACTGATGTAATGTACTTAGTACGGACATACTTTACATTCCTGTGAGAGGGAGGGGGGAGGAGCACACACTGATGACAGCACGTTGCCACACCCAGCACACGACCACCTCAGGGATGAGAACCTGACTGCAGCCATATGGCAGGTGGTACCTCAGCACCACACTAGTCTGAATGGAACAGTGATTTTTTTCTTGGTGGCTGGAGTGCCAATCCTGCCACCAACCCCCAAATTATCTGTGTAAGTTGGAGGATCTCTTTGCAGGGCTGGATGTAGATTAACGTCATATCCAGGACAAAGCAATTACAGGTTAAGGGCCTTGCTCAAGGGAGTAGGATCACTCCTGGCATTCACAGGATTCGAACCAGCAACCTTCCAGTTGCTGGCACAGATCCCTAGCCTCAAAGCCACCACTCCATCCACATAAATGTTAAATCTTTGTGTGTGAATTTGCTTTCCTTTTAACTGGTGATGGTTACACAGTCCTGTGTAATGTGCTTAAACAAGATGGTGTGCAAGTGCAGTTTTCTTAATCGGTAGAAGGTAAATTACTGTTAATTAGTGCTGTATTGCGATTCTTGAAATAAGTTGGAAATACTATAATTCCATTCACTTGCAATAAATGGTCATTTTGCCCACCACTAACTATACCTGTTTGCAGAAGGTTGCCAGTTCGAATCCCGCACTCAGCAGAATAGTCGCATTACAGTACCTTTAGGCCAGGGGTAGCCAATCTTATCCGCAAAGGGCCGGTGTGTATGCAGGTTTTTGGGATAACCTGTAGATCAGCTGTTCAAACCAAGGTGTGAGGACTCTTTCAGCCAATCAGTCCTCTAATTAGTAATCTAATTATGGCGTTGCAGTGAAAACCCGCATACACACCGGCCCTTTGCGGATAAGATTGGCCACCCCTGCTTTAGGCCCTTGAGCAAGCCCCTTAACCCCCCCACCACAAAAATGCTCCAGGGGAGTCAGATAAATGGCTGACCCTGTGCTTTGAACCCAAGCTTCACTCTCACC